CTTCAAGGAGCTGTGCTATCCCCATACTTATTTGCCACTTATATTTGCGACATTCCCTGTGTTTCTCCCGCACATATTTTGAAATATGCAGATGATGTCGTGTTGTGCCAACCCATTTCTTCTTACTCTGATCTAAGCTCTTTTACCGATAATCTTGATCAAATTCAGTCGTTCTCCTCCTTATCGGGGCTAACCCTGAACCCCAGTAAATGTGTTGGGTGTTTATATAGTTTTGCTCACTCTCCACATCCGACAGACCCCACAGTAATTAATAACAATCCTTTATCCAGGGTAAACTCTCAAATATCTTGGTATAGCCATAGATAGAAATCTTCATTGGTCAACTCACATCCACAACTACATTGGTAAGCTGCGACACCTTTCATTTCAAATACGAAAGTTCAGACAGTTTCGCGCATCCCAGTCAGTTATTTCTAATTTTGTTTACCAACGTGTTTTCCCCCATCTTTCTCTACTGTTCCCCGGTTATTTTTCCTGGTTTACTCAAACAGAATTTCAAAGTCTTATGTCGCGGTCTAACCATTATTAGTTTTATCTCTTCTATTCCTGTGAATGAATTAGCTGTAAAGCTTTCAGAGTATCACGTAACTTCCTGTGTGAAATTCGCTGAGAGGATTCTCACAGATCCTGACCATCCATTGCATGCAGAACTGACACCTTGTCGGTCCCATCATTCAACGCGCTCCCAATTCCGCCAACTTTCATCTCGAATTAATGCATACCACAATTCACCCATACCGTATCTTGCTCGTCTACTCATAAACAAAGAGCGGACAATAAGTGAACTTTGTCTTAACCTTGGATTATGAAATATCCCCATGCCTGTAAGAACTTTTCTCCCCGTTGATTATGTACATTGTGACGGTTAGCGTGTATGATTTTTTAAAACTGAAATGTGAGCTCCAATGCTTGCAAAAGTTATATACAATACAATACAATACAGAAGAGCGATTGTGTAGTAGCCAGATGTTCATCCCCAGTGGGGCGAATTAAAGCCGCTTCTTGACTTGACTTGATTATTTTCGATATCGGGATAAATCCAGCAGTTCATTTTTTCTCGCAAAGCATGAACCTGGCACTTCAACCAAACCCGGTTTACTTGAGGTGAAACTGTCCTGAGATTGATGTTATTTTAACAGTCTAAAGATGCAAAACCTTTTTTGTCCACGAAAACGATTTCGACGTTTATCACTTTAACTTGGTTAGTTCATTTTGGCGTTTCTATTTCGTCGCTACTCTCAGCGACTTGATTTGTTTCAAACTGAGAAGAATCTCATGGTTGCTCAATCTATCAAGAAGATCTCGCGACTGGATGAATTTCTTGCGCTCTGGGAAAGTTTCGCCTACACCCAACGTATTGTCTCTCTTCTCCTACACGTAGACAACCATCTTGTTGTTTGTTGAAATCTTTGCGAGGTTGAACAGAACACATTCAAACACATGTTTGTATTGTATGGTCCAGCAGTTCCTAGTTTGTTTCCTTTTGATCGTGTTTTACCCACCTCGTATGTGATTTCCTCCCGTGTTTTTTTCTCCAGATGGATCGGCTACACAAGTTACGACTTCCTAGAGCACACACATGTTGCCTCTGCTGTTCCGGTGCACAACCAATTCATCATTTGTCTAGTGACGAGGATGAAGACGAGGTTGGCGCTGTTGTTTGCGGCGGTGATACATCCATTCGAGGTAGCCAGGGCTCTGATGATAAACTCAACAGAGCCGCATCCACGTTGATCCTTATATCGGATGAGATGGAACTACCACATCTTCGGTCTGAACATCGTATTTTAGACCACGGAACCAGTCACCGACCACATCTCGGAAAACGTTCTACCGAACCGTCTGGAATGAATGGATTAGGGTGGACTATCTCATCGAAACTAGACACATGGGTCGACGAAGAGAATGTACAAAAGAGTGACACCAGGAGAGAGCAGCCGGCCTGTTTAGCCCCTTGTCGTTCATGGCATCGATTTCAACGCAAACTTAGTTATCTGTTCACCCATTCACCTGGTCCTGTCGAAAAAACAGGTGTGGAAATGGGTGATACACAACTGGCGGAAGGTGAATCTGAGTATCCCGGTTATCCACACGAGGAAGACAGTCCGATGCTCATCCAGGCCACACACACCAGGATCGAAGATGATATGGATGATGGTTATGTGTTGCATGCCTCATCTTCTAGTTTATCCAATGTGGAAGAGTATTCTGAAAGCGAGTTGGAGATTCGCATGGACAATCCATTTTGGTTTGATTGATTTGTAGTCATTTGCTTGCTCACCAACAACCACCTTTCCCAGGACTAAAACGATTCCGTGTGTGTTTTCGAAGATACAAAAGTTTCAAACGCTTATCAATCTGGCCTTTTGCATGGGGCATTCATGATTCTGCCCGGTTGCCCCCGAAAAAGGGGCATACCTATCAACTAGTTCTCCCCCCCCCCCCCCAAATGCGGTCCACTTGTGCTGCAAACATGGCGCGTTCCAACCGCGTTAATATTCAGAGTTTCTTCGTTTCTTTATTGACTTTATTGTTCTCTATTCGTGGAAGTTTTGTTCCAATCACAAGATCTCTTACCAACGAGAATGCATTGCTTTATTCTGAAATTTTTCGAATATTTTTTTCAAAACATCAACCATCTTATCTACTCTTGTGCTATGATGTCTGTGTGGCATGATTGTTGTTGTTGTTGCTGCTACTGCTGCTTTTGGAGTAAAGGTTGTTCTCTTTTGAAGAAACGCTGGTTTCAAGTGATATTGTCCAAATTCCTAAGAGAAGGGACTAATTTCGAAAGTCCAGTTGTAAAATTTTCAGCAACCACTACTCATACCGTTTTGTGCTTCGGTTTCGACTGCCGCTTGTCAGCTACCCATTTGGTCGGTTGGTGAACGAAAGATCGAGATTCGGCTAGATGCCGTGTGTGCTGCCAAGACAAACGTGTGGAATGACAGTATACTAGATTTAAGCAGAAAATGGGATAGATTCAAAATCATTTCTGTTGAAAACACCTAATCATCTCGAATGCGATCGAAATGTTTGTGATGACCGTCAAAGTGCACTGGACAGCTGTTTCGTCCTGTTTGTGACTCATCAGCAGTGCGTAATTTTTCCGTCCTTGTCGGGGGGCTCCAACCGCGAGCATTCGGGTCGAGATCTCAAACCCTTACCCCTGAGCTACACAGTTGACGGTCATCTCCTTGTGTGAATGGCTCAATCAATTTAGAGTATAAAGCTTGGATCGCGGAGAATCAATGATCTCCCAAGGAGTGAAACCCACAATCAAGACCGTCAAGAGTGCCTGGTGCCTCTAAACAATCGAATCGACCAATCCAAGTTTGATACTCTAAACTTAATCATCTCACTCAGTATCTCTAATTATTGGTCAGGTCGTACCTGTGGCCCTCCGCCAGGAAACCTAATACAATCCGTGCGATCGCTTTCACCAATCAAGCGTTTTGTTCCTCTATGCCAGGTCATAGTATGACTATCCTTGTTATTCAGGTAACACCGTTTGCCCGGTAAAAAGCAGAGAGAAAGTCTGCCCGATGATATTCGTTTGGGTTACCGTAATCGGGGTCCACGAAAGCAATAACGTATTAGTTATTCGTCTAACCAGAGCACTAATTGTTCGTTTCCTCCACCCCACTGGTATCATTCGCTACAGACAAAGACGCTCAAGCACAGATGATCAGTGTTCCATTTTTGCAACTCATGACCATATCTTTGCACCATAAAACAGCAGCGACTGAAATAAACATTCGACACTTCACGGCTACTACAGAAATGTCTCAAGGTGACAACCGAGCTATTTTTTATACGCATGCCGAAAGTTCGTCCATAAGAACAGTAGTAGACAAAATTGCTCGGGTAATAGTGAGTTTATGGGCTAAAGTTACTCGACCCTGTTGCAGTGTTCTACATTTCAAGGGTGCAGACGCGTGTTAGACATAGCCAGACTGAAACCCATACCATCTGTAGGAGTTTGCAACCCACCTAGGCCCTCATCATGTGGCGCGATATTTGCGTACTCCGACAGATCAGATCAGACCATTTCACCGTGATGCCTCTGCCTGGCGCGGAGAAATTCTTTACTTAAAGATTTGTTGCAAAGTCAAACACTGTAGGACAACCCCGACAAACATAAATTTTCCCGGTATGAGTACGCGAAAATGTCCTCAACTCGAATGAGGTTCCGATCATTCGTGTTTGGTGAATGCAAGTTTGTGGGAGTCTCTCCATTTACCTAGGGTGTCTCCTAAGTCTAAGACTGAAGCAAAACACTCCACGTTGTATTGGTGCAGCAAAAATGTCGTCATCCATGATCCTTTTAGAGAAGCTGTCAAATACTAACCCGTTTTGGTAAGGATAGGATAGGAAGCATTTCATTGTGTACGTGCAAAACGGTTCTCAAAATCGATGGCGATGTTATTGATACCTTTTCTCCTAGACTGAAATAACTGTGTTCCACGTATGATGAAGCCCAGACAGAAGCAAATATAC